GCAGCAGCAGCAGCAAAAGCAGCTCATGCTGCAGTGGATTGACTGGGGGTCTCTCTCCTCCAGTTGTTGCTGACGAGGCGCTTGCAGTTGTCTTCCTGCACGGATACCAAACCCTAAACCCTAAACCCTAAACCCTAAACCCCTGGCGGCTGGTTGATGTCGCTGCTTTGTCTTTCTGTTCAGCAGCAGACAAAAGCTGCTGCTGCTGTCTTTGTTTATAATCTTTTTTAATTGAGGGAGTCCCCTTAAACAACTCAGATTATCATAAACCACTCCTTTAGGGTTTAGGGTTTAGGGTTTAGGGTTTAGGGTTTGCGAGGGTTTAGGGTTTGTCGTTGGGGTTTAGGGTTTACAAGGCTACAGTTTAGGGTTTCTTGCTATGCTTTAGGGTTTGTTAGTAGGCTCTAGGGTTTGCGTTTAGGGTTTAGGGTTTGGTATTAGGGTTTAGAGCTCGCACTCATCGTTTAGGGTTTCACAGGGTTTAGGGTTTAGGGTTTGTGGTTAGGGTTTAGGGTTTATTGTTAGGGTTTACGATTAGCACTTAGGGTTTCAGATTAGGGATTAGGGTTTATAATTAGCGCTTAGGGTTTAGGATTAGGGTTTAGGGTTTCTCATTTAGGGTTTAGGGTTTACGATTAGGGTTTAGGATTAGGGTTTAGGGTCTATGATTAGGGTTTAGGATTAGGGTTTATGATTAGGGTTTATTAGGATAAGGGTTTAGGGTTTATGATTGGGGTTTACGATTACTGTTTAGGATTAGGGTTTAGCGTTTACGATTAGGGTTTATGATTAGGGTTTAGGATTAGGGTTTAGGGTTTAGGATTAGGGTTTAGGGTTTATGCTAAGGGTTTAGGGTTTATGATTAGGGTTTAGGGTTTATGATTAGGGTTTAGGGTTTATGATTAGGGTTTAGGGTTTAGGGTTTAGGGTTTGCATACCTCGATGAGAGAGAAGTGAGCCTTGAAGGAGTTCGAGCTCAGCCACTGCTCCACCTGATACCCACTAAACTTATGCTGGCTAGCTAGCTGCAACAAAAAAAAAAAAAAAAAAAAATAAANTATATATATATATATATATATATATATATATATATATATATATATATATATATATATATATATAATTTATTAATTAGTTTTATTTGTAAAAGAAAAATTAAAAAAAAAGAAACAAACATATACATGGCGCACTACAACTGATACACAACATGGAATTCCATTGCTCCTGCATGCATGCATGCATGCATGCATATATGCATGCATGCATGCAGCAGCAAACAAATACATGCATGCATGCATGCAGCAGCAAACAAATACATGCATGCATGCATGCAGCAGCAAACAAATATATGCATGCATGCATGCAGCAGCAAACAAATATATGCATGCATGCATGCAGCAGCAAACAAATGCATGCATGCATACATGCAACAGCAAACAAATACATGCATGCATGCATGCATGCATGCATGCAGAAACAAACAAAAATACAACAAAAAAATGCACGCATGCATGCATGCAGCAGCAAACGCATGCATGCATGCATGCATGCATGCATGCATGCATGCATGCATGCGTTTGGAGCTGCCTATACACCTGAGTAGTTTAGACTGACCCTGAGGAAGTCTGTGAAGTCGACCTTTCTGGCTTTCTCAATATCTTCTTGCTGCAGCAGCTGCTCAGCTGTATCTGCATCTCCTCTTCGTTGCTGCTGCTGCTGCTGCTGCCGCTGCTGCTGCAGCAGCGCAGCACGCTGCAGCCGCTGCTGCAGCAAACGACGCAGCAATGCTGCCAGAGTCGCCCAACCGCCCGTAGCCAATGCGGTGTACCTGCAGCTC